AGCCTCTAGTCTAAACTTGCTGCCTAAACTCTTTCTATAGTCAAAGACAAGATGGAGATATCTCTGGAAGGCAATGTAGCCTTCCTGGCTTAAACCCCTGTTCAGGATTAACTGATCCACTCACTTGAGATGCCTATAGCTGTCTATTGCTTGCATTTACATAGATGAATATTTCAAACAAAACTCTTAACTTTAAGATGGCAAATGTTTGGTTAGATGAATTCCAACTTCTTGGTGTGCCCAGAGAATGTTCGGTCTGCCTGACAAATGTTTGGTGAATACCACACTATGGCAAAGCACGAGCATCCCACCTCAGTTGTGTGGAGTGACACATCACTGAAACCATATCAAGCCAACACTTGCAGATATTCATATGCCCTTTGTGTTTAAGTTCAGTATCTTTACAGTCAGTCCTATTCCTTAACCTCTTGAACCTTGCTATTGCACCTCCTGAAATGAATGGGGTGTTTACACTTGCCCTCCCACCAGACACCCTGACTAGAAATTACTTAAAGAGTCCTGAAATGAAGTGTCTGGATCCACACATGCTTAGCTTTCTTGGACTCCTCTATGGCAAGAACCTGCAAGAACATAGGCAGAAAAATCTAACGTGAGCTGGCAAAATATTGCTCTGTCCCATGAGGTGAGGCGTGTAGTACAAAGCACTTTGAGATGTATGATGTCTTTTATTTCAGCTTGATTTCTTTCTTCCTCTGCTGCTCTAAGGAGGATAGAGCACAGAAGTTTGAAGTTGCTGCCTTCAGTCATTTCTGAGCTGGGCAAGTGCTTGTGCCATGCAGGAAAAATAAAACTTCTTCCCTGCTAGCAAAACCAAAGGAGTTGACATTCTTGCTCAGACTTGCAATAAGTCCCATGGAGGCTGAAACATGGGACTTTTCAGCCCAGAGGGGAAATGTGAATAGCTGCAGAGGGTGAGAACTGAAAGACAGGAAATCAGATTTGTCCATAGAAATCGTCTTCTTAATCAGGTGTTGACTCCTGCCCCATAACAGCACCACCACTTTGGACAACACAGCACAGAAATGCTAGCGTGTCACCCAGAAAGTGGAAAAACATAAATGATTTCTTCAGCCTATGCACCTTATTTGTGTCAATATGCCAGAACTGCCACCTCCACCACCAAAATTGAAGCACACAGTGGAAGATTTATAATGGAAGCATCCACAAGGGGGACATCCTTTAGCATAATTTTAGCATTGCTTTTCTTTTCCCTTTTTTTTTAACCACAAATACCCTATATGCCTTTCTCTGCTCTTTGTAGAAATGGAGTGCATTTATGAAATACAGCCTTAAAATGCTACTTGTGGATACTGCTGTACTTTGACATTGCAAGCAAGAGCTCTATAAAACTTTGACTTAAAAAAGAAAGCTTTTTGTTTTATGCTAGAGGTATCACTTATGCCAACTTTGTTACTGAAGACCAGTGGCACACAAGGAAACATGTCTACAGTGATGGAACACAAAACATTTTTCCTCTGCCAGTTCTCAGTAGTGATTAATTGAATTTCCAGATACCCTCAGATGTGTTCATTTCATATATTCACACCCATTAACTGCCAGAGTGTACCTAGTTCCTTACATGATATCTCATGGGAGTGCATTACTCTGACCACTACTACAAATGTGAAATGTTAATTTGCAAAACTATCTAGTTTTCAGGGTGTAGTAGCTCTATAAACTCACTACCAATACTTAGCATCCTCCAAATCGGTATACCAATCACTGATAATCTGATCCTGAGTCCAGATCAGACTCCAGAAAGCAGATACAGTCTTCATCCTTTTCCCGTCTTAAGCTCTCTATCATTCTCAGTTTACACTTTACATGCCATCTGTCGCATCCTGCTCAGAGGAGGGAGACAAGTGACTTAGATTCATAAATCTCCAACAGACAGCAGTGAGACAACTCTCAAAGTCCAGACATTTATTAATTTCCCACAATGTACTAATTGGATACATAATAATTGTCTAAGTATATAACAAATTATGGCAAGTGATATACTATGCCTTGTGTTACCTAATGATAAGGAAAAACGAAAAAAGAAAATAAGAGAGACAGAGAGGTAGAAATAGAGATCACCAGTTCAGGTTCCTGTGTTGGTCCCGTCTGAGTTCATCCGGGATGCATCCATCTTCTTCACTTCTTCTTCTTTGCTGGCTGCTTTTATACTCTTTGGACCCCCTCAATTTATACACACATTCCTTGGGTCCCTCCCCTAGGTTGACCCACATACCTATGTACCACATGTATGGGGAGGAGTATGGTGCTTCATGGGGTGATGTAATTAGCATGATCTTGTTAATCTTCATTAGCATATGCAGGGTGTGAACTTTAATATATGAATTTTGTGGATAATAAAGCAAAGGTCATTCACTGGACAAATGGCCCTTGAAAACTTTACAAGATGCACCAGGGCAGAACTGTCCTGTCTCCCCAGGGCCCCCTCTCCCAGCTGCATCCTGTGCTATCCAGGCAGCCTTACCAGCTCCAGCTGCCACATTATTCACCCTGTGATTACAGTTTCATTACTTGTGAGTGTTCAAGACATTCCTCAGCTTGGAGGGCCTTCGCTCTCCCCTCATCCCTTATCTTTACCAAGTCTTGTTTCTCATCCCTGTTTTCAGGAAGCTACAAGTCATCTTTCACACCATCCCTAACAGTACCAGCAGGACTCAAGACTCTAATGTGTTCTGGACTAGCAACCAATAACCAAACCTGTAAGTGAGCAAATACACTTCTTATAGCACCTAATGTTGAATCTTACCTGCAGCAAAAATACTTTTCTTGTTCTGGAGTGTGGGACACTGTAGAGTTCTCTACCTGCTGTCAGCCCAGAGCTGTGCCCATGCTGCAATGATGCTTGCTGCATTTTGCACTGCTGGGGTATGGCGAAAATCACAGCCTGTAAATGCCTATGTTGTAGTGACAGCTGCCCATTGTAGTGGGGGGCTAAATGCTTTGTCCAAAACCAAAGGCAACCCCCTTGCAAGGGCTGCAAAATGTAGGGATGAGGTACCTACACTCAGTTCGTGGGTATTCCACCAATTACTCTCCATTTACTGTTGCCAACCTTTCTTTCCACACTTCTGTATTCACTCTGTCACTTCTTTCATGGTTAGGTCACAGAGTGGACAACAAATGGTTTCAAATGATGCCTGTCGTTTAAGGCTAGCTACAATGATTGTAAGTCACAGCTTATACAAAATAAGTGTTTTAAAGTATTTCATATGTTAATTATGGTCATCAATTAATTTAAGTGAAGAAAACAGCTACCAGAAGTCCAGAAGTATGCTTTTGTATTGATTCAAAGGCATGAGTAGGATCCCTGGTTTCCAGCTGAGTAGCTATGGGGCACGTCTTGGTGAGCAGAGCTCTCATTTACCGACTGTTGGGGTATGATCCTCTTAACCTGGCCCAGGTGGAAGCAGCCACCATGCAACTAAATGTGTTAGAGGATGCTTTCCATACCACTGTACTGATCACTGGGCCGGGACACTGTAAAAGTTCTTTGGAAACACTTTATACAAGATATTCTGTCTCTTTAATGGGCACCAGTAGTGCTAGACTTGCAACACATTAGCCATAATATCCCTAGATATATGTACTCCTATTTCCCTTGTCTGTGCCCTTAGACAAAAGTGTGCTCTTGTCTAGCATTATTGCCACCCATCACTTTCTTATCGTGGAGCTGAGGTGGGACATCAGAGGTGGTGGTGGATGCTCAGGGTGCTGCTTGGTGCCATGCAGATGCAGGGAGGCTGTACTGGGCTGAGAGAACACAGGCTACATGCAGCACGGGAGATATAGGGGCAGCTGAGTCAGTATTTGGGGCAGCAATGCCCAGACATTCCTGCTGGCAGCCTTGCTTCCTCCTGCTCACACTCCAGACCTGTGGGAATCCTGGCTGGCCTCTGCAGGGGTGTTCTACCCTTGCTGGGGATCAGGGGACCTGGGCTGGAAACCACCGTTTTATCAGAGGAAAGGGACTGTGTAAACAACCTGGGCAGAAATGGGAGAAGCCAACACATATTTTTGACGGCCTTGCTTAAGTGGATCACCCCATCAGCACATCTGCCCCAGAGCTCAGGGCACTCTGTCTACCCTGCTGAGGACTCCCCCAGTGGGTCCAAGGTAGAGCCAACTTCTGCCTGGAGCTTGTTTTGGCCCTGCACCACCTGAATGCCCTGAGGAAGAAGAGGGGAGGTTCACAGGCAAACTCTGCTAGATAGCAGCTGTCCCCCGTTCTCCCTTGTTTCCAGCTGCAGCATCCTTGGTGGCACTGGGTAATGTCTCAGCTGCCCCCTTTCCCAACACACCTTGCAATCTCCTGAAAAATCGTTTCACGTGATCCCTCACACAACATGACATGCTTGCAGGTGATCAACCTGTATTTTACACTTGGAGAAGGAGGTTGGACTAGATGACCTCTGGAGGCCCAGCCTACATGATGCATGACTCTATGACTTCAGCCACTGTTGCATACATTACAAGAAAATACATGAGTGAACCAGTCATCCCAACCTATCCTCGCTTAAAAAGGAAATCCTCGTCTACCTAGGAAAGTTTTTTAGAAAAAACCTGAACCACTTTAATTTAATGACAGCAGCATCAGTACTACACCTTGTCTGGGCAGACAGCTAACATAACAGTGGCTTTTCTTAGATAAGCTTAAAGAAGGTCTGTTCCCTTCATCCCAACATCCCTGTTTTGCCATAGCTACATGCCACATGGTGTGGCACGTAAGCCCATCTGACCAAAGGCTGGGAGGCACAGACTGGATCCTGCAATGCCCCAGCCCTTGTGAGAAGCGAAGTCCCGTGGGCTGGGGGGGGACCGGTGAGCCACAGCTCTCTCGCTAAGCGGAATCACGGGGCACAGGTAGCACAGCAGGCTGCTGGGGTAGTGAATCATACCCCTTACAAACCACAAAACGTGACAGGAGGACGCGTCTGGAGAAATCCCTGGAGAAATGCACCAACCTGCTGCGCAGCTCGAGCACTCCCAAAGCTCGTGCCCCAGAAGAGGTCGCAGCTGTGGGCAGCCAGAGGCTGGCATTGCCCTCCTGCCTGTCCGCTCTTTGTGGGGATGGCCAGGCCCCGGGGTGCCTCATGGCTCTCCCCACGGTGGTGAGGGAGCTGCTTCACTTGGGACCACGCTGGAGGGCGAGAAGCAGCTGAATGCTCTGGAGGCATCACACTGCTCTGTTGACGCAGAGGCGCTGGTGACACAGGGGGTCCTCAGCTGGGAGAGCATCTCTCAGGGCATCAGAGGGCTGTAAAAGGGAGGCTGAAACAGCTTGGATGGCTGCAGGTTGCTGCAGGAATTAAATATGATGAAACACAGTAGACAGTTTTATATGCTCTATTAACAGTATTAGACCTTCATACCAGAATAATTTATTGCTGGATTCCACACAGCACAGATGAAGTGCCAAACCTGCTCCAGTTCAGGCCTTGGCATACAAGATACATCCAGTAGGAGTTAGTAGGAGCCGGAAATTTATTATGGAGGCTGTCCCAGCAATGTTGGAGGAGCAGCTGTAGCCCTTACTCCTAGTTCTCTTTTGCCGTGTTGGCACTGCTGGTGCACTCAGAAGGCAATACCAATCCAAAACAGTGTTGAGGTTTCGTGGAGACTGTCCAGCAAGTTTTCCTCTCAATGACCACGTGAGAGGTACTCCATGTTTCAAATCAGTTTGATTTGCTTCTCACCCAGCGATCTGCTGGAGCGGCGCTGGTAGTGCAGGAGGTGACCTCCCGCACACTCACGCTGGTGGAGTCACTGCTGGCTTCATCCATGGCTGAAGGGTGGCAGTCACAACCCCGGGACAAGTGCCTGCAGGAGGAAAATGAGGCCATTCAGAGGTTATTTGGAAGTGTCCCACTGCAGCGGTTGCAAGCAGGAATGTTTGTGCTGCTCCTCACGCTCCTGTGCCGGCACTCACCTTTGATGGATGATTACTCTTGGATGAGCTTGCTAATGGCTCCAGTTATGTCGCTCATGAAACCGATCTTCGTGATTCCTGAAAGACCCCATTAACACTGCATTAGAATCTTGATGGCTTTCATTCACTGAATTATTTAATTACTTAAATTTTTTAAACATATCAGAATACCTTCTAAGTCAAACGTGACCTCTTGGTCTTCTGTGAGAGCGTCTGACCTTGAGCATGCTTCAGTGGGCTGTTGCAGCCTTGCTTTTCTCTTCACACACACTCTCCCTACAGCACTCAGCCTTGTAGCTTCAGAAAAAGGTGTTATTGGGGAAAGCAGCATGCTAAGTGGTTTTCTTTTTTGTGATTTATCCAAGTGCCTGTTTGCTCCCACATGCTGTGAGTGGATAATAGCGGTTCTCAATCAAAGTTAAAATTACTAATGCTCTTGTCTGTGGAAAATTTAGTGCAGAAAAAAAAAAAAAAAAGGTTAATGATGCTGCTATACTACCGATCTTACTATGGCTTCGGCTTTTCATGTCTTTGTCCCTGCACTTCTGTGTGGCATTATTCTATTGACTGGTATTCCAGTCCATATCTCTGCTGAAAGCAATGCAAGACAACCGTATCTGATATTCTGCTAAGATGGCAAAACTAGTGTAAAAAAACCCCATGTAAACAATAACAGAAAAACAATATTTTTTTTTCAGACACTGTATTTCATCCAGCAACAGTGACAATTCAACAGTACGCTGACAGTGATTAGCATAGAGTATTACTCTCTCCTCCACTTGCATATATGTTTATAGCAGTAAATTTTGCCTACATATTTCCTCAAAGCTGGAAGCTGTTGAAATTATTTTGCACAGGATGTTGGAGTAATCTGAAAAAAAAACCTGAGCAACAGCAGCCACTCTTGCTTCAAGTTACTGACACTTCAGTGTCTGCCTGCAGTTCCAACACACATAGACAATATACCATTAATGCTCTTTTTCTAATTGTGTTCACCACAGGGTCTTCTGTGACTCACAAGTTATGAATACTTTTTAGCTGTAGTCTGCTATAATTTTTTTGTCAGTCTAAAAGGGCAGAGAGCTGATTCCTTTCACTTATATATTCCCAGTCTTCTACTGAACACATTTAATTTCTGGGAAGAGTGGAACTAGAAAATGGGACAGCATTAGAGTTTCATATATTCACGTACAACGTCATTTTTAGTTGAGACAGACAAACTCTGATGGATTACACAAGGTAAAATTATATGTATCAAATTATATGATGTAGTGATGGAGAGGTTTGGCCAAGTCACTGTAGGCTCCTCAAGGAACTGTTACTATCGGGTAACTGAAACCACTCTTGGGTACTTACTAAAAACAGTCTGTTTTGCAGGGGTCACCAGCACACCTGGGTCACTGCCTGATTTACTCCATCTGTATGGTGAGAGTAACTCAAATGATTGCTTGTTACGTAGTCTGGGATCAAGTCACCCTTTACCAGAGTGACTGGTCTCTGATACACAGAAGCCTTCAGCAGATGGATGAAGTTATCCTTTGGGTGCCTCAGGCCCAGTCAGAGCCTCACCAAATACTGCTAGTTCCTTGTGGCGCTTTAAAGAATGATTAGCAAATTGCAAAATTTACTCTTAACATACAGTACTGTTGAAAGACTGTCCTCCCCTGTATCCCGGATGTCTTCTGTGTGTCCTCATGTTCTCTTCCCTGAGCTACATGTAAGCTTTGTTGTCACACTGGCTCCAGTTCACAGACACGCAGACACATGTCCTCTTGATGTCACTCCACACCTTCTTTCACAGGTCTAATACAAAGCTCTTGGCAGCTAGGGGAAAGATTTCCATTTTCCCCCAAATTTTGGAAGAGTCACTCCCAAATCCCCCAAACCCAGTTTTTCCTAAAACTCTGTTTGTTGGAGTTTTGCTGCAATATAAACCTAAATTCAGAACGTTTTAAGCACAGACCAAACATGAAATATGGCAATACTCCCAGAGGCAATTGCTGGGGCTGTTCCTGTGCTGAAGATGAGACACATATTTAGTACCTGGTGAATCACCCTCGACGATTGACTGCTTATGGCCAGCATGGGTGTGGGCTCAGAGGCCAAGGGTGCAAGGGTGCTGCCCTAACAGACAAGAGCCATAGCTCTTTCCCAGAGACCTTCCAGTTCTGGGTGTGTTTGCTTTAGGAGGCAAAAAGGGAGTTAATTTAATGCGAGTGATCAGGCACCCCTAAGACACTTCTTGCCTTAATTATATTTGCATGGGAATAAAAATGAGTAGAAGGAAAACTCTGCTATTATCAGCACAGCTTGACATTCCCAGTGCATTAGCACATGAAAAGATCTGGTGACAGAGTAAACAAGACATGAATTATTCTTAAAAAGCTTTTACAACAAATACTAAGATGCTTCCATCGCAAAGGTGACCTGTAATTGTTAACAATTTGCAAAAACAACCACATCAATGAAAATGAGGGTTACAATACAATTATTACAAATGCTTCAAATAATCAAGTTAAAGTATTCAGCACAACTGGCTTCAAATATGCCTTTTAATTTTCAGCTAAGGCCCTATGACAACTGGGCTGGCTGTATACTACAGCAGCCAGTTGCAAACATCTCCGCAGGAGCCCTCTGCTTTTGCAGATCCAGCACAGCTTCCCTGCTGAACCCAACAGTTTTTCTGGGTCCTTCAAAAACGCCCAACTTCGTAACCCTTCTGGAGGCCCCGCAGGCTGGAGCTGGATGTTGTCCAGCTGTGGTAGTCATGCCCTCACTACGCTCTCTCTCCGTGTCCCAACAGTGATTTAATTTTATCCCACTGCCTCCCAAAGTGTCGCTTGAGCGAGGAGCTGGCTGTCTGCCCTGGGTAACTGAACGGCAAGTCCAGGTAGGCAGAAACGAGCCACGTCAGGGTACGGTGGTCTGTGGGCCAGGTGTGCTGGCAGCAGTGCATGCCAGTCCCACCGCGTTCTGGATTAGGACTTCAACATCTTGATGGGATTTTAAATAGCTTTTATTGCCAGCCTCATATTATACCCACCACAGCCAGTGATTTATTTAATTTAGAACAGCTTTCATTCATAGATGTTTACCCACAGAGTGTCCCAATCTGGAGGCGTGGGAAAAGAGGTCACTTACAATTTATTTATTTTTTTTTTCTGGTTATTTTCAGCAGTCCTCTATTCAAAATAACTTGGAGCTATGCATAAGGGCTGATTATCAAACCTATCCAGCGGATTTAGTCACACAGCTGTGCGTCTAAATCTCCTTAACCATGTTTCAACAGTCTCAAACACATGATGTTAGATTGGAGACAGGATTTTTGGATTATAGATGGTTAAATGGAAGTGGGAGTGCCAGGGTTAGAAATTAAGTAAAAGTGTGACTTCTGCATAGGACAAATGGCTGTAAGGTTGTACCACAAATGGTAGCATGGAGGAAGGATCTCTTTGTACTGAGAAAACCAAACAGCATAGACTGTACCAGGTTCTATTAAACTCCCCAAGAAGAGTGCACTAAGACAGCAGCACCGCTCTTAAAAATATACCATATTTTGCGCCTGAGGAGCTTGGAGTTTGACAGCTTTACACCTTTGGAAACAGCCACGGATGGTGTGCTCTGTTCAGAAGAACCGTTGTGACCTGCAGGAGCAGGAGCTGAGTCCCAGAGCTGGCATGATTTCCTGATTAAGCTGCAACCAACACAGCAGAGCTACCCTTTTTCCCCAAGACCCGGTCTCACAGCTCTGCCAGATTATTTTGACATGTCTTCTCCACCTTGAGGATTTAAACTTCACTTGTAACAATACCTTTTTAGCTTGGAAACACTGTTGATTTTCTCTGCAGACTCTTGCCAAAAAGGGGAGGGGGGGTGTGGGGGGGGTGGGGAGGGAAGAAAGATAAAAAAAAAAAAAGAAAAAAAAGAGTTGATTTCCAGACTCTTGAGAATACTGGAATTGTTCAGGTGCTGAAGTCAACACAAGGTATCAGCTGATAAGTGGGAGGCTTAAATGTTAAAAATCTCAAAGTAGCAAGACAATGATTTGAAGAGGCCTCCTCTCTTCCGATTACTACTGAGGAAGGATGATATTACAGTGAACCTTGTTAAGATGTAATATTCCCAACAGAGAAAAATTGATGCTAACGCTAGTGTCAAACTGAAGAACTGAAAGGGACTGATTACTTTTTCTGCTAGGAATAACTTTCCATTTTGTCACTGCTTTGATACCTGAGCAATCCCATTAATCTCAAACATCTGAATCCCAGCTCCTGTGCTTAATTTCTGCTGGGAATTGAGGAAAATAGCAAAACCAGCCATGCCAGAGCTTACAGCAACTGAATTTGAGGTCCTTAAATCAGAAGAATGTGTCAAAATATTCCAGACAGTTTTACAACTCATTTTTAAGGAGCATGCAGCTAGAAGAAAGTAAGCATCCAGGGAGCAGGGTGTCTCACGGTGGATGCTGGTTTGGCCACGCACTGCTGGGACAGGGAGCGAGGGATCCTATTCCCACGCTCCTGCATGGGGCAGTGGGGACACGCATAGGGTTAAAAATGGGAGCTCAGAGGGAGGATGGCCCTGCTTGCTACAGGGAAATTTCTCAACCCTTCTGTCTCACTGTCATTAGCTCGTGACAGGGGGAATGTGCTCTCCCTCCAGCTTTCACACTGCTTCTCTAGAGGTTTCTGTTTGGTCCTGGCTCCTAGGCTGAAGGAAAGCAGTTAACTAACTCCATTGAGCATGTTAGCCTGTCAGCTCTGAAGCTCCAATAAAAGTGTGTGCTCAGGTTGTTTGAGAGTGAGCATCAAGAGAAAGTATCACCTTGTGTTTGAGAGAGAGCATCAAGAGAAAGTATCACTTCTTGTTCCAAGAGAAAGCATCAGGGGATGAGCACAACGTCTACACAACTACAGCAGCTCTGCAGCATTCCAGTGATCTTCCCTTACTCATTGTTTACTCTGCTCTTGCTTATTTATGGTGGTGTGTATCTTCTCTAATTATGTTGCAAAGCATGAGAGAGAAACTGGATGAACAGTTTTCAGACAACACGCTACTCTGCAAGAACTCTGTCAGACTATTTAACATTGGCAAAGAGGAAGTAAGTTTAATTGCCGTGAGCTGGGAGGAGGGATATTAAACAACATTTTATTGTTCTCCACAATAAAGTGGGAGTTTTGGCAGCCTCCTTGAAGAGCATGAAGATGCCACGTACGTGATGCTGTAAAAATGCAGGAGCCGAATCACACTGGAAATAACATGATGGGAGGGATCTCAGGAGATGATGTAACCTGGCTCCTCTGCAAAGCAGGGTTTGCCAGAGCACCACCAGTCTGGCAGTGCAGCCTGTGACTCCTTACTCTGTGCTGGGCTCCAGGACCAGTTCCCCCTCGGGACGAGTGGCCCTGCTGCTTGCCTGCAAACAGTGATCAGGCACCACAGGACTAAGGAAAATGAGAAAAATCAAGGAATAATATGGTGGTTGAAAGTCCCACCAAAGTCAGAATTCTGGAAAGGGGGAAGAAAACCAGAACTGACTGAAATCTCTGCCACCCATCTGGGCATCCTGGAAAGACTCACTGCTCTGAGAAACCTCGAGAGTAGAAGAACCAGAGGGCTGGTCCAACTAAAGTTCACCAGCAGGACTCATCTCCCAACCAAACGCAGACCCTCTCCGTGGTGTAGTCCCAGAAGCAGTATATGTAAGTGCAATACTTCATAGTAACTGAAGTAGGAGCCGATTTTTTAAAAAATAGCTGATGCTAAATATTTCCAACTGATGAGGACATTAACAGAGTTCTCATGTGCTGTTAGGAGAACAGCGCTCACATTTGATCCCCATCAGCACCAGCAGACAAGGCTTTCTCCTCAGCTAGGTTATGTTTGGCACATTAAATGTCAGGAAAATGCAAGTTTTTTGGGGCTGTGGGAAGCATTTATCTTTGACTGGATGACACTGATTTGGGGAAAGAGTCTACAGTTGAAGGTGTAGAGATCTCTACATGGTCAGAGGCGCTCTGGTTCTTTCCAAATGTTCTGGCTACACGCACACCCACTTGTGAATTCAGTGCAGAGGATAATGCACCTGGGGACAAATATTGGCACAAGAAGGTTAACACTACAGGGTGACTGGAAATAGGCAACTGTGTCAATGTATCTGCCCAAATTGGTAAGGATGGATCGAAAGTGTCCTGGAAATGGCTTCAAGGGTAATTTATGCCTAAATGAGCAGTCAAAATCGGCAATTTGGGGTGCCATTTTGTAGCACACCTGACAGGCATGTAATAGAAATTGAATACCAATTTTGAGGGACCAAAGGGATCAGGTAAAGAGACACCATTTTGGAGATCTACTAGTAGTCAGTGGTCCAGGGACATTTCTGAAGTCAATGTTGGTTCCACAAGAAACAATGACTATCTAGATCGCTACAATGACTATCTAGATCTCTATGTGTTGATGCTTCAGTGCAGAAATGCAAGGGACCATCAAGGAATTTTTTGCAATTAATTCCTTCATGTTAGGCATGGGCAGATGGCCCGGATGTGGCTCTTACCATCAGGCATAGCTTGCTGATGATATTCTTACCATCGTCTGATTTCACTGTCCAAGGTCTACTTTTACATTCATTGTACATTTCAAGCTCCTTTTGACTCTGTAACATCCAATGCTTTTTCTACCTCTATCTGACAAAAAACATTCTAGCATAAGTGAAAATACAAACTGGTTGATTTTCAGAATAATTTTCAAGATCATGCAGTATTGCTCAGCCTTGTACTGCACAGAGTTTGAACCACACATGCAGGATTTCTTGCTTCGTGGCACAGCTTAAGGTATTCTATCTAATATGGCCCAAAATTAGATCAGTGTTGGTACTGCTGTACTAGATAGTGAAATTATTTAAAGGTTGTTACAGTAAAAGGTCCACTAAGATATTTGTTGTTGAATCAACAATATAAAAGCATTATGCTTAAAACAGTAAAAATAAAATTACTTCCATGCTTTGCCTGCTGAAGACAATGTTTAAAGAACCTAATTTTATAAACCAGTTTCAGAGAAAACATTTTTCTGAAAATAGACTATGGTATCAACAATATCATGAATTAAATACACAGAGAAGAGAGATAATTACATGCATCCAAAGTATAATTTTTGAAATAACTATATTTTTTTTCCCCTCTTGAATAATTCCCCTTGTGTGCCTGTTTAGAAAACAATAGCTTGGTTATGAAATAATGGAAATTTTATCCATGCAAATGCCACCCTCGTATTAAAATCATCACACAGCTCACAGCGTGCTGCCTGCAAGTTTCTCAGGTATAAATCTATCAGTAAATAAGGACTATTTTACTGTGGCTCTTAACCTTAGGGGAACATCTTACTAAATAGTTGATTAGAATGTGCTATACACTATCAAACAAAGAAGAGAAGATCAAATTAAGCTGCACTGTAAACATTAAACCAAGAGACAAGATAAATGCTAGCCTCTGCATTTTTAACCTACTTTTCCATTTCACATTTGAAGTTTGAGTTCTGTGATGGCATGGACTGTATGGTAACAGCTCTACTGCTTGCTCCCTGCTGCTGTGATACATGTTCCCTTGCAGCTGGAGGTGCCAGGGTACAGCTGCATGGCAGGAAAGCCACAAGCTCCCCGTACCCATACCGGGATGCTCCGTAGCACAGGAGCTGGTCACACTTTGGAGCACTCGTAAAGCATGGGAGGAGGATGTAACTCCATGTTATTCACTTCTGGGAAGATGCTTTAGTCAAGGATGGAAACTCTCCATTTTCTCCCCACCATCTGGCTCTGGCTGTTCAGGAACCAACCCTCCAGTTCCTGGGTTCTAACCTTCCTCGGATGCCCAGGCAGAAAGCAGCACTGGCAAGAGACAGCCAAGGTAGATACAGCCATGGGGAGCAATGAGATACTCGTCCCCTGGTCAACAAGCCTCACAGAGTGATGTTGAGTGTGGGCAGAAGATGGTGATGGATGCCAGCACGCCCTGTCCACGAGAGAAAGCTACAGGATCATCTTCAGTGTAACACAGCCTGGATCTCATGCACAGGGCATGCAAAAACTCCTTCATATCGGAATAGGTTGGGAAAGAGCCTGCACTTAGCTCTATTTACATTTGCTGAATTCCCCAAACTATAAAGGAACCAGGATAACAGCATTTTCCCTTAGAAAACTCCCTCAGCAACCAAAAAATAAACAAACAGGGCTTAAGAAAAGCTAAACTCTTTAATAAGGTGTGGAAGACATTTAAGCAACAATTTCTCCCCTATCTGATTACATGTTAATAATTCATTTATGTTCTCAGCAGTTCCCAGACATCTATTGGCTCCAGTGAGCACCTACAGTGCTTGAGGGACGAGGACAAAACCGAAAAGCACATGCAGTGAATTTCTATAGATAGCAGGCACTCAGGAAAATTGGCATGAATTTTTTTTTCCAATTTACTGCTGTGATTGGGCCAAGTCCTTACTTTTCCTCTGGACCTCATATCTCGACTTGCCCATACTCTAGATTTAAGCTTTCCCGGTAATGCAAAGCAGTGCCTTAACATGAGCCTCAGGCTCAGCTCCCTCCCTAAGACTTGGCCGGAATGTTCCTTCAGCTTGTTCCTTGTTCCTTCAGCTGCTCTTCAGCAGCATTGGGCAGGGTTATTAACAGGAACTGTTAAGAGAAATGGCATGACTGTAAGT